TGGAAAAGCCAGAGCAGCAAGCCTTGTGTGACCAACATGTTTTATGATGCTCACATACTCACACTGGGAAAGGGACAGAAGCAACACTATCAAAAAAAAAAGCCAAAAGCTCTGTGCTAGCCTCAGAACCAGACACTGGAAGCTGCTTCTTATGTGGGTTCACTTGACAAAATAAAACAGAGCCCCCAAACAAAGGCTTTCGCTCTCCAGGCTAAAACACGATTCCAACAGACATCTTGCCATTCTAGGAGCTTTGAAATACCCTAATGAAATTGTCTTCCATTTTAAGTTTTTTTTTTTTTTCTGTGCTTAAAAAAAAAAAGACACTAAATTAAGGACAGGCAGATGACTTCCAAATCTCCATGGCACCGCCCACTTCTTCCTGCTCCCTTTTCATGTGGGTCCTGGGCTGTGAGTGGCTCCCAGCTGGACGTCTCTCTGTTCCTATAGAGCTATGAAGATGATCAACACCAATTAGCACATGTCACTATCTTCCCCCTCAAAACCTTTCACTGGAACATTGTTGCTGTTACCCGCAGCCTGCCCTTTAGGATTCCAACGGTGAGCTATCCACTTCCAGGCTGCATTCACCGCCTGCTTGGGCAGAAAGGGTTCAACCCCGTGATCCTTATTTAATCCACACACTGGTATTGGGGGGAAAAAAATGTAGGGGAAAAAATGAACCTTGGAGTAGAAAGGCAACAAGAGGACCACATGTGGCAGATGCATTGCTCTAAGGTTTGGGGACACAGTTCAGGGAGTTCCTGGGGCAAACGTGAAAGAAGTCAATTTGGTGATGGGAAAAATGTTCTTCTATTGAAGTGAGATAGAAATATGGAAAGGAGAGGAGGGGAGAGTGTTTTGATTTTTGTTTGTTTTTAAACCACTTGATTTTTGTACCCCTCCCCCACCCACCATATGTGGCTTTCAAGTTTCCTTTTCTGGACTTGAAAGGACTATGGGAGCTGCATAGTATTCATGCGTACGGAGTCTGAGGCTAGCCCAGGTTTCTTCTGGCTTTGTACTTATCATAAGAAGTAGCAAAGGAAAAAATAAAGCAAAGCAAAAACCTGAGTTATAGGACCAGGGACAGGTAAAGTAAATATTGATCATTTAATAATAATAATAATAATAAACTCTAAAAGGTAGTAATTTATTTTTTAAAAATTGAGTAACTGGATTTATGAACCAAATTACAGGCTGTCCACCCTCTGTGTCTAAGCTGAGTAAATGCAGTAGGTTACTACATCACAAAACTGTTAAAGGCATTCCAGGGACCTGACCAAGCTGGAAGACCTTCGTTAACAGTTCCGATTTGGGGCTGGCATTCTGATCTAGCCCCTAAGCTGCCTCTCTGACACGGGCATCCCATTTGAGTGCCACCTGGTGGCTGCTCCACTTCTGATTCTGCTCCCTCCTAGTGTGCCTGGGAAGGCAGTGGAAGGTGATGATGCCACCTACTTGGCCTGCCCAGCCCTGACTTTGGGGGCATTTTGGGAATAAATCAATGAATAGAAAAGTCTTTCTCCATCTGCCCCAGCCCCCATCCCGGGTAACTCTATGTTTCAATAAATAAGCTTCAGTTAAAAATACATACAACACGATGTCTGTTCAGGGTAAATTCAGATATAAAAGTAGATAAAGAAATACAGGGAAACACACAGATATCTTTTGGGGGGAACATTTGCAACACAACACACACTCGTGCCTGTCATGTGAGCAGTCACTGGTGAACATCCATCATTCCAAGCCACCACACTGTCCAGCAGAGTCATTTTCTTTCTTTGTGTGGGGAAGTCGTGCATTTGGGCAGTGGGAAGAGAATAACTTGGGGGCAGCTAACTGGGTGCCCGGATGGGGCAGTCTGTGGGGAAACTTCAGAAAACCAGAGATGTTTCCAACCCATGACCCCTACCAAGATATGAGCTACTTCCATAGCTCGTGGAGTCTTCTTCAACCTGGACGTCTGCACCCCCAGCTCTTCTCTGAGGGTCACTGTCGGGGGCATGCACAAAGCTAACACTGCAAGGGAGGGGTGGGAGACAGAGGCAAACAGGGCCCCAGGGTCTGTGGGAACACAACGTGATTCTGACCTCGCTCTCCACAAGGACCAGTCGCCTCCCCACTGCTGGAAGGCAGAGAGCAGTGTCAGGCTTCCCAAAGGCTTCCCACTTTGGACCTGCCTTTCAATCTTGCCTCCAGAGCTAACCATACCGTGCTCTTGGGGCCAGCTTTGAGGCCAGCTTCCTTAAGCATGCAATGCATTTTACATGCTCATTTTGGTATGGATTAGAAATGATATTTATAAAGAAATGCACACACAATTGTGATCAGTAATAAGCATATTACCCCTGGCAGTGCTGACTCAGGACCTGAGGCAGCTAGGCCTGCTCCAAGGGTGAAGACCTGGGGCCTTGAGATTACCCTTTGCTCACAAATCAGGAATAAAAAAGAGCTAGCTGTCCTGGCTTTACTGTCCTTTCTCATCAAACAGCACCTACCATTTGCTCCACGGTCTGAGGGCCCCTAGGCCAGGTAATGAGCAACTCCTCAAGCAGCAAGCACCTGAGCTGGGATCCTCTGGCTGTCCCCCCATTCCCACTCATTTCCAGGTCCTTCTCAATCATAAACAAGGTTTCTAGGACCACAGTACCCCCTGATGGCTGACATGAGGAACTTTCTTCTCCCAGCTAGTTCCATCTTCTCCATACAACCAAGTCTTCCGCAAGCCTGGACCATTCCTTTCTCACGGACCATGCAGCCTCCCCTGGCTGCTCCATCATCTCAGGACCATGCATTTCCTTCCCTTTTCTTCCCTCCCTTTGTTCCATCGATGAATGCTTAAATTTCTGGGATCATGCTTGATAAATAAACAGTAGGATGAGTTCATCCATCCATCAAGAAAACCCTGATACATTTAAAACATTCTGTCAAGCCAGCAGCATTAATCACTGAGGTCCTGAAATACACATGTGCCTTCCTCAGAACAGGCACAAAAGAAGCCCTCATCTTTCTCCAACTTACCATCATCTTTCCTCAACATTATTTTCCCACTGATTTAATTGCCAAAATTGTACTAGTTTGTTCTCTACTGTTGTGTTGCAAATATAATTCTGCTGCAATAAGGGTTAAGTGCATTCCTGTGGGCTATTGTGGAAACCAAAGCACGATCTTTCAGTTCTCTATGGGAAAGCCAACTTGAAGCTCAAAACAATTGCTTTAAAATGAGCTTTGGAAAATGTTAGCTATTATAACTCAATGTTAGAAATTGGGGGTTAGGTGTGGTCAATTTTTTAAAAGTCCATATCTGTAGGACTGTGGTTTCTATCTATTGAGCCATGACATTTACCAGGAATAATACTTACAGAGGTATTCAGGGATCACTTCCCTATGCCACCATTCAATAAAAGAAAAATCACTCGCCAGGTGTTGGTTTAATAGATACATCCTAGAAGGTTCCTGGACTGACTTCCGTGATTATAGACTGCTTCACAATGAAAACACATCAACCAGTTCTCAAAATGTAAATGCTCTTTTATTCCTTAATGTAAATCTTTCAAGGTTTGAGCTTAAAGTACTTTTTTAAAATGCAAATGGGCTAGGCAGGAATTACTTATATGACATTCATTTTCTGCTTTAATAGGTAATTCTTCTGATTTGGAAAGTTTACCTTAAACTAGACATCAGTAACCAGATGCCACCTCAATTTTTAAAAATCCCAAAGCCTATGACACAGTGTCATATAATGCAATATAATCAATAAAAAAGTATATTTTTAAAAATCAAGCTAATGAAAAGACTTGCCACAAATGAACAACAAAAGGTATAATTTTTCCAGTTATTAATACTTGAAAGCTTATAAAAATTGTTGGCACGTAACGGAGTTATAGCAAAGGATGGTAACCAGACTATTGTGAGCACATACAGACAGGCACACGAAAGCTTTGTCAGTGCCTTGAAAAAATACTTTCCCTAATGTGTTTGTAACTCGAGGTGTGTTTGCATGGGATTAATTCTTTGAGATTATTTGTACATCCACAGAACTAAAATGATTCTATCTTTTAACCAAAAAGAGCAAATTAATTAAAATAATAGCTTAATATTACCTATCCATCAGAATTGAGCAAAAAAAAAGGGAGGCTATCCTACATAAATTCTAAATCCTAATATCACAATCAAAATGCAAAGTAAGAGACTAGGATGCTGTAAATGTTGGGTGGTAAACAGGTTGCCCATCAGTGAGTTGCCATTATTTGAGCTGGCACATTCAAGTTAGTCTAGAAGGAAGTTATTCATTCTCCAAAAATGCATACCTTTTCAATTCCTCAAGTTTTGATTGTGTCGATGAAAATGCTCAGTGTTAATATTTTTGAAAGCGTTACACTGAAGTTATTTTCTCAGGACCCAAAGAGAAAACACCAGAGGAAACAGAACCAGACTGGATTGTTTAAAATGTATTTTCCCTTTAATTAAATGGGAAACATCTGTCTGGGGATTTTGAAAATGACTGTAACCCATCCACACTCTGCCCGTTCTAGTTTGCATCCAATGTCCAATATTTTGAAAGAAAATTCTTTCTCTCTGTAAAGAATTAAACAGCAACATAGAAGTGACGTCTGGGTCTTGCCTCTGGAGTTTGAGCACAGAAAACACCAAGGAACCTCTCTTTTCTTAGGTACCTCCTTGAAAAGCAACCACATTGTCAGCAATCGTGGGCGGGGCGGGGGACACTTGAAAGCTTCCACTAGCCCTGAAAACGGTTATCTGCAGAGACAGCCCCAGCAGCTGCCAGAACGCATCCACACGCACCAGGTCCAGCCGCGAGGATCACCCCCTCCCTCACAGGGTTTCCCTCGCCTTCACCCACAGTAGAAAAAGCGATTTCTCCGGGGATCTGTACAGCCCACGAAACAGGCACCAGGAGAGCAAGGAAAGTGCGTGGGAAGTGGCTCCGGCCTCTTCAGCCAGGGGCACGGTCCAGAGCGACCAGCATCACTTACTGGTGGTGTCGAAAGGGATCTGTTTGCACTGCGCTGACCCCACGGCCGGCCACGGACAGTAATAGACCGCTCCTCCTTCCACGATGTCCGGCTGGCTGGTGTTGGCTTTGGGCGCCCCCACCAAGACGCTGGCTCTGCGAAAGGGCATTGCAAAAGGTCACTCGCGGGGTGCTCGCCACACAGCCTGGGAAGCAGTTTTGCGGGCTGTGACCGGAGCCGGGGTGGCGGGCAAAAGCCTGTGCACCACGCGGAGACTGTCAAACTGAGTTTCCTCTTGGAAACCCGGTTTGGAAGGGGGTGTGGACAGCCCCAGTTGTTCCCTAAGCAGAGTTCTGTAGATACAGGGAGATGACAGAAGGAGGCGGGGGTGGGGGCGGCGGGCACGCAAAGGACAGAGGCTGGCTTCCTAGTAACTCAGGCCACTTGCGCCCGGCCACTTTATGGGAAAGTCCATGGACGAGCAGACCATGCTAACCTTCTAGCGCAGGTTGGGTCCCAGTCTCTCCTTTGTAGGATGCACTGGTCTTTGTGTCCGGAAAGTGCCCGGCCTCGGGTGCCCCCTTGCAAGTGGCGCATCTCCAAAGTGTGCAGGGCACATGCAGCATGCAAAAGCGAAATGAGGCTGGGGGTGGGAGCGGGACCCGAATTGGAATCTGGGGCTCGGACGGCCGTCGGGTTGGTGAGCCTCTCCGCCCGCGCGCGCTCCGCTTCCCGGAGCCGAGTGACTTACGTGCGAGCGTCAGGTATATGGAAGTCCACGGCATAGCCAAAGTAGCTACCCTCGGGGCCGCCGTACACCGTGAGTTTCTCCACGTCCAAGTTGAACGCCCGCGAGGCGGGGGACCACAGCATCCCCAGCGCGGCCGAGAGGCACCAGAGGCGCGCGAGCGGCTGCACCCGGCTCCCCCGGGGACCGTGGCGCGCCGGGGCAGACATCGCCCTGCGCCCCGGGCGGCTGCACACCGGGGAGCTGCAGGCTAGAAGCAAGCCCGACGGGGCAAACGGCGAGGGCGGCGTCTGGAGGTCCGCAGGCGGGCCGGTGCGCGCGGCGCGTCCGCGGTGACAGTCCCCGCGTCTGCTCCCAGCGGTCTGTCCTGCCGGCTCGGGGGGTTGGCCCAGGGGATCCGCGCGCTCGCCCTCCTCCGGCCGCGGGCGGGGGGCTGCCGAGCTGCTGCGCCCCCTAGCGGCGCGTCCCCGGAGCCGGACACTCCCGGGCCACCCGGGCTCCCAGGGCGGTCGGCGCCAGGCGCCTGGGTTTCTTCCGCTATGGCCTCTCTCCAGGATCATCGCCGAGGTCTCGCCGATGCCACCTCACACCACGAAGCAAGACTCCGGGCGGGGTGGGGGTTTGCTCCAAATGTGCAGCGTAGGTGGAAGAAGGTGGTCGCCGGTAGGGTAAAGCAGTTGTTCTTGTATGCCCTGTGCATGCTTGAGGACCTCCGCGGAGCCAGTACGTTTGTCTTTCGGTGGCTGAGAGTTAAAAAGGCAAATACGGCAAACCTCTCCTCCTTCAGCTCCACCCTGTCGTCCCCGCAGAGGGAACTAAGAGATTGTGGAGGACTCAAGCCTATTTAGGTTTTCCTCCAAGGCTCGTGGTGCCCATAAAAGGGCTTGGTAGTGGGTTTCTCACCATGCCGTGGCTTGGTAATGAAGATGAACAAAGTCGTAATTGAGAATGTTGCAATTAGTTTTTTGGCAGGAGCAAAGGCTGTAGGCTGCAGTGAGCAATTCAAACTTCAACCCCAGTGGTATATAGGTGTCATTCATCTCCTATGCAAAGTTCCCCGCGTGAAAGTGGGAGAACCTGGAGCCAATAGGCAGAGGAAGGCGAACGCTGTAGTCCAGGTGCCCTTGCAGGACACGATGGTCCTCGGGGGACACGGGTAAGCTGGCATAGTTACCTGGATGCGAGAGGAGGTATGCAAGCTCTCGGGTCCTTTAAGGAGGCGTGATGATAGATGTTGAGTCAGCAGCCATTTGAACAGCAGCAGGCTGAGATGGGAATTGTGGTGGGAAAAGTGGACGGAAACTGAAAGACACAAAGGTGGGGATTGAATGGCTGTGCGTGGGAATGGAATGAAAGAGATTGGTTGGGCAGTGGTGAGAAGTAGGGCTGGCCAGACAAAGGCAGACAGTTCTAGAGCAAAGGTGTGGCATGCCCAGGGATTCAAGATTCAGTAGGCAAGGGCAGGGGACGTGGCACTGGGAAGCTACTAGCTGAAAGGAAGAGAGAGCAAAGAACCTGTTGCCCAAGTGCGTTGGATGATGAGGACCAATCTGGTTACCAGAAGGAAGGAAGGAAGGAAGCGGAAAGCCACAGATGCTATAAATGTAAAGACGAAGGCAGTGGGCCAGAGGGGAAGGCAGCATTGAGAGCCCCAGGGTGTCTGAAGGTTTCCACTGAGGAGATGACAAGCAGTGGGGGATGGGAGAAGTGGGGTGAACAGGCATGTGTGGTGGTGAGTTAGTGCTGGCCTTGCTGAGGGTGTGCTGCCAGCCTGAGGTCAACAGGACCCAGTGCGGCTTGAGGAAGGAGCAAGCCAATCCATGCCTATCTGGACTCCCCTGAGAGAAGTCCCGAAGCCCCACTGGAAAAGCCTGGCTTTCTCATTTCCCTTACATCAGAGCCCACTTGGTAGATTGAATTTGGTGTCTTTCCTTGTTTCCATGAAAATATGAAAAATACATAACTTATCAGAAGCTTCCCTGGCAAACCATCACGTCGGGATAATTCCCTAACTGGATCGCAGTTTCCCAGATAAGTAAGGACTTAAGAGTGGATGCTCTAAGACTTTCTGTCGCAGTCCAAACGTCTGTTTGTGTGGGGCATAGAGTCGGCCTCTCCGATCAGATGATAATTGTTAACGAAAGTGGTGGGCCCCGTCATACATTCCAGTGGAAGGGGCACATGTGGTCTACACGTGGGATTGGTCAGAGCTGTCATGGACACTGAGGCTAGAGAAGAATGACAAGCTTCCTGACGCCAGTGAACTTGAAATTTGCAAAGTTGTCATATTGCAGGCAAGCCATGGGTTTATGTGAGATGTCTAAATAGGAAGAAAGTGATGGTGTGATCCTAGCCATGTTCCTGACCCATGGCATGGTGGACTGGGAAAAGCTAGCAATACATGAGGGTATTTCAAAATGTTTGAGAAAATACAGCTAAAGTTATGTTTGTTCTGGTGCAAATAAACATTGAAATCCACGCATACAAAATGGAAATGTGCTAGAAAAAATTATGCATGGATTTCAAACATTTTTTGTGCCAAACTAAACTTACCTTTTAATTCTGTTTTCTATAACTTTTTTGAATGACCCTCATGTAACACAATGCTTTGATTCGTACAGGGTAGCCTAGTTCCAGGGTATACTCTGGTGTAACCCACCCGTCTGATTGTTTACCCAACACATTCCTTAGTTCTTTATTCTTTGTGGCCCAGAAAGTATAGATAAACGGGGGTGGGCAGGAGTAGGGGGCTTCTAATTGCCATATATTTAGATCTATTCTTAATCTTTTCTTGGCTTAACCAGTGTGTGGTCTTACTATTTTCATTTTGCATGTAAAGACAAGAGTCTAGGAGGTACATGCGCATAGAACAAGTAGTTGATAGGAGTGTCCAGACCTGTCAGTTTCTGGTTTCTCATGCTGTTCAGTCTGTATGAAATCATTGTGCTTGGCTGTTATAATGAGGAGCAGTCACTTTGCTAGAAGCAAAAAACTATTCTGGACCAACTCTTTGGTCATGCCTGTGAGTAACACTGGACACGCACAATGAAACACCTGTGCACTTTTCTAAGCGGAATGGAAACAGACTTGGTAGCACCTTGGTATCCACAGGGTAGAGATGAAGGCAAATTAACTCAAGGCACTTTGGCTTCTCTTGAAGGCCAAATGCTTAGGAGAGTAGAAAGCCTTTTAAGAAGCCAGGAAACACACACACACACACACACACACATACATATACACACGCACAAATGCACATTGCAGCCATTGCAGAGAAGGACTAAGTCTGAATAGGTGTCTTGTACATTTCAGCACTCTTGACCTGTGGGAACTGTGCCAGTCAATAAAACCTAGGGTCTCGTCAGAGAAACGCATGGACAGTGACAGGTCTCGTGCTGAATGAGAAGCTTGATATTTTAAAGATCTACTAGCCCTGGTGTGATGTCAGAAAAGGCATTCTGGGAGGTGTTTATCGTGTGTGTGTGTGTGTGTGTGTGTGTGTGTGTGTGTGTGTTTCCCTACAATGAAAAAGAAAAGGACCCAAGGTCAAAGATGGAACAGATTGGACTGAAATGTTCCAAAAATAAACAAGAGCGTCACAGGAAAAAAAAAAACGGTGCCTGAGCTGTGGACACGTACAAAATACTTAAGCATAGAGATTCTATAGCATTTCACCAGTTAGTGCATACTGGCTACCAAAACGCATCCATGACTTCAAGGGCCAGCTGTTTTTCTGATTCTGCTTTGGTGTATTTCATCATATGATTAAGTATGATCATGCCTTGAAATCAAGAGGCATGAGAGAACAGACAGGATTCTTTCCTTAAGATTAGCCAAACGTTCACTATGTTAACTAGGCCAGCTACAGAATAAGCAAATGTGAAACTAATGTGTTTTTCACAGTCCTATCAGATTAAAAAACAAACAAAAGCCCACCAGGATGGGAAGGTGGCTTCCCCATCTCTTGTATGTTGGGTGATCTCAGATTTTTGTTCTATCCAACTGTCCTCTGGTTTTCCGCAGTATTAAAAACAGCCGATTGCAAGAAACTGGTTTGTTCAACTCTGTGAGCGGCAACCGCTTTGAAATCCCCAAAGTGTCTCTGCTGACAGAAGCTTGCGTCTGCGAATTTTCTATTCTGGTCCCTGGAGGCTGAATTTCATCATAGCAAAATTATATTTTTCTTTTCCTTTCTGATGATTTTTGTTTGTAATTCTCTTTTAGGATTTCCCTTCATGATTTTATTAGCCACTTTTAAGTTAAAAGTGCTGCAGCATTGGCCCCCGGATTGGCAGAAGTTCAAGCATAGCCTGCACTTGGTTCAGCAGAAGGAAAATTCCCACTAAAGAAACAGACTCGATCTCTTTTTAGGATAGGTTTGCAAAAGCAGTTCTGCCTTTTACAGAAAATAAAAACAAATGAAACAATTCGTGTGAAAGGGAAGGTGACTGCAGGAAACGATGCCGTTTGGGAACATAGGGATACAGGGAGTAAGTGTGAAAATCAGACCACCTGGGGAAGTTGAACTTACATGCAGGATCTTATTCACAGGTGTTTAATTAGGGTCAGTTGACACACACAAGAGCCTTAAAAACCTACATACATCCGGCAGGTTGATGGGGCAGACGCTTTAGTAACTCTTGGCCAGAATGACTAACGGATGCCTCTGATAGTTGGGTGTGCAGAGGGAAAAGTGAAGAGCGAACTCACAGGGAACTCACAGCTTCTTAGGCATAAAAATTTGGAATCTAGCAGAGCTGGGGACACCACTTCCTCTGAGGGTTCATGTTTCAGCCCAGTACAGAAGGAAGGTGCCTTCTTTCTTCCTCCTAAATCTCCACCAGGATGAGGGCAGCGCCACACTGGCCCTTGAGAAAGAGGGCAACAACAGTGGGAAGTGTGGCATTCTCCTGACAGCTGTGCTCACCAGGCCTGAGGCAGAGCATCCTACCAGCACAGGGTTCAGGCACCATCTTGGACCCCAGAAGCAGCAGTAGCAGCAATGAGTGTAGGTCCTGGATCCAGGAGGCTCTGACCTTTGGAAGTCACCTGCACGATCCTACATTCAGCCTTTGGGGAAGCCACCAGACTTTGAGGGGACACAGAACATCTCCCACAAATAGCTGTGGAAGTCACAAAGGAAGTCCTTCAGTCTCAGGAGGGACACACTGGCCAAAACATCCAAAGTGTCAGTGTGAGTGTGTTGAAACTTGAGGCGTGGGTGGCTGTGCTTACGCCTT